ATACATTAGTTATTACCTGTTTAATGGGTATTTGTGATTTTAAATTGAGGCATAGCTTTTTGTAGAAAGTAGCCTATGACAGGCATAAACAAATGCTGTATTGCCATGACAAATGGGTTGAGGCTTTTGAAAAGGGCTTGCACCAGACCTTATCCATGAATGGAAAAAAATGGACAAATTACTCAGATTAAAAGGGTGATCAAAAAGAAAACGACATCAAGGAGTGTAAGACAGCCCAGAAAGCCCATCAGCATCATTACCCCAGCAAACCCAGAGGCAACTCCAAAGCCACCAATACAACTGCTTGAGAATTCTGCCAAGAAGCCAGATGCAGCTGGTGCTGGAAAGAATATCTTCTGCAAATTAGCTTCTGAACCCTGTAATTGCCATCAAAAGCAACAGATCAGGAATACAATGTGCTGGGGTAAATGACAGCAATCACAAAGCCATACTTTGGTGTCTCTTAAAAAATGCTTTTTAAATGAAGTTTAAAAAAAAAAATGAAGAAGGGCAAAGGAAAGATGAACTTAATTACAAGAAATAAGCTCAGTCACATAGTAGTTAATGAAACACAGCTGTATCGATTGTTTAGGGCACCCTTTGACTATGTGATTTGAAAGGGGTAAAGTAAGCAATCATACCAGTCCAAGCATTCACATGACTAATTCCATCCTGTTGAAATGTCAGAAATTACTGGGGAAAGAAAAGATGCTTCTCTGCGTGACTGAAAAATTTGGAAAACATGCATGTTTTGTCTTGGTAGATTCTGCAAAGAATAATGCAAGTAATTAATAATTTTATGCAAACACGTTGTCAAAAAATCACTTTTAAGGGACCAGATCTGTCACTGGTACCAGCCAGTACAGTTCTATAGAATCCAAGGTATCAGCTCAGAATCCTAAGCAAGATAAAACCACAGACCAAAAAGCACTTCTGAAAATAAAAAGTAGCCTAAGATCTCACAACGACAACATGCTGAATGCCATTCTCAAAAATAAACAGGAATTTGAACTCAGAAGAAACTGAAGAAAGGAATAAAGTAAAATGTGGCTGTAGGTGTTGAAATGAAAAAATGTATAATTACTGTCCAGTATTGCTTTCAGTTACATCCATGCAGTTCCACTGTAGCAAACACAAAAATGAAGCTCAAGTTGGATTTCAAAGTTTCAAAGTATTAAAAATGAACTTTCCTCATCTATCAGCCAAGGCTTTCAATGGGACTTGCACAATGTTGCAGTGCATAAGTAACGTTTAAAATATCACATGTATTGTGGGATGCGCATCCTTAGTTTGACATCTAAAATAGTGATCGAAAAAGTATGAAACTTTTTAATTATTTGAGTCTTTAAAAGCCAACTATCTGTGTATTGGTATCTCAGCATACCAAATGGAGGTTCTAATTGTGTCCGTTCACCTTCTCTTTGAGTAACAGACATGGGTTAATTCTCGTCTTCCATTACCTTGACATGCTTGCTTTGATCTTTCATCCCAATACTACATTACCATGTAACATTGATCTTCCAACACTTTTTAGCATTCTTTGAGCCAGACATGCATCAGGCACACCTGAGAAAGCTCTTCTATTTATCACACCTATTCTTCTTCCTGGTTTCATATGCATTTGTGACAGCTTCTACTCAGCTTTTTCATAAAATAACTCAATTCTTACTAATTTTATTTTGTTTGCTGCCTGACCCTCTCTCCTCACATTCTTCTGGCTCAATTGTCTTCTTTTATTACCATTTACAAATGTCGTGGGTGTGTATATTAGTCGGGAGGAGATTTTTTGCCAGTCTGACAGACACATGGACATATGGCTGGTTTTAGTTTTCTTTCACTCTCCTCCTGCAAAGCTACGCATGAGATATCCCTAGTACGGATGCCTATACTGAACCAGGTTAGAAGGGATCTACTTGCTACATTTTCTTCTGGGTTATTTTAAACAATTTTAAGTTATACTCCAAAACACTTCTCATTGAAAGATCAGCAGACTGTTTCTGATGGTCCTACTCCCGTAGGTCTTACCCCTAAATTCTGCCTCTGACTGCAGAAATCTCTTTTAAATCCTCTCTCAAAACCTCTTACTTTTTCCCTCAACTTTTTTGTTTCTAATGATTTCACACCCTTGTTTCTGCCCTTGTTTTTATTTGCTGTGTTACTCTGTATAAAAAACATCTTGCCAGAGAAAAAGAGAAATGATAGATTTTGAAGAGTATCTTTTTTAGTAGCTAGTCTTCAAATTAACCTAATGTATATGAACAAAGCTTAAAAATTACCTGAGACTTTTAGTGGCAAATTTTAGAAGGCATTGGCAATTCCAAAAGCAAGCCCCATTTTAACACACATGCCAAAATCAGAGTCATCAAGGTACCCAATGATTTAAATGCTCCATGTGATAAATCAGTATACTCCACAGATGGAAGGAGTAGAGATGGTTTTCCACTATCCTTCTCAGGATCAGAGGAGAAGAATTAGTCTAATTTAGTATAACCTCTAGCCCAACTTGGAACACATTTCAAAGCTCCTGGATTGTGTTAGGGTGCAACGGGACCATCATGCTGGAGCACATTTCAGTCGAGACTTCCTCCAAAAAGTTCCCTCTGCCAGGGCATGGAGGGGGACTGGCGTATAGCCAGGGAGGCTGTCTCTGTGCCAGGGAGACATTCCTTCACGAAACAGAACTCCTCAACAGTCCTAGAAAGGCAGTTTTAATTTCTTTTTGCACTGTTCACTAACACAAAAGGGTATTGATGGACTACGACTTGACCATTTACTTTTACAAATGACGGGACTGGTTTCTCCTAACTTTGTTCCAAGTTTGAACTCGCTTTGATCTAAAAGTCATCATATAAGTAGCGTTTCTTTTAAATTTTCTTTGGAAAAAGAAAATTTATAAAGTTTTACAGAACTTATGAAATGGAACATGCACAAAAAAACCCCCACCAAACCTGGATGGGATTATTAAACTATTTTCTCCAGAAATGAAAAATGTCAACAATGAAAGATAAAATTGCATGTAAAATTTAAGTGCTTTATTCTTTAGTTTGTCAAAATTTAAGACACTGCATTAGCATGCTTTAAAACCAAACAGAAACCCAATACAGGACTGACTCGTTGCTTTCAAGGTAAGCAGGAAAACACTACGTTGCAAAAACAGCTAATAAATCGGGACATGCCTGTTATTCTATTTTGTATTCTCCTGTCTTCCCTAATGTGATAGTATTAACACAACCAGGGAGGAGATGGTCATAAACAAGCCGTCAAGCATAATTAAGCTATTGTTTCTGAATCTTTTAATAAATGTATAAACGCAAAGTTGGATCATTTGTAGTAATAAGGTGTGCCATTTAGGCCATATTTGTTTCCATGGTTATCAGCACAGACTGGAATGCTGTTCATTGCATGGCTGCATGGTATGGGATAAAGTCATACAAGTAGGAAGCTCTGTAGATGGCCAGCTTGAAACTTTAAGAGGTGGCAGTCCGAGGAAACAAAATCAATTTTGAAATCAGCAGTTCAGCAGAGAGAAGACTAACAGAACCATCTTTGCTCACTGAAACACAAAGATGATATGGTGAATCAAGGAACAAATCATCTATCTTCCACTTGGGAACAAATGGAAAGGCAATTTAATAAAGAGAGAGATGAAGAACAGAGGACACACTAGAGGTAATATCCCAACAGCTGAAATTCCACTTCAGTTCATGTATAGAAAGCTTCCTATGTACTGGCTCTGGGCAACTCCTTATTCCCTATCTGGAAGTTCCTATTTCTCTTCTTTGATTATGCAGAGGAGCTCTGATGGAATTCAGGCAATTCACGTACAGCCCAGAGAGCTACGAAAACATTCTGCACAGCAGAAACTTTCAGGTTTTTTTTCCTATGGGATGCCGAATTACGTAAGAGAGGTAATTTCAAAGATCATCATCACAACATCCATATGATAACGCCACTAATTGCTTAAAATGAAAATGCTAACATTGTGAAAGTAATTAATGTGGTTTAAATGCCTATACAAAAGGAAACCACAATGTGAAGTAGTCAGCTCTCTGTAGGTGACCACCAGTATGTCACATAGCATGGATTTTGTGCTTATATTTACAATATTAAAGAGCTGTACTGACTACCTCGTTCCATGAATAAGGAGACTTGTGAAGCTAATTTTCCTAACAATTTCTCTCTCAAAACGCTCTTGATCCTCTGATGTCTAAGAAGTGAGCTCATGCCAATCTCTTCAAAGTAAATACAGGCTTTCTCCATCTCTGTTCTGTACTGACGCTTATTTTCTCCTAAATTTGTAGAAAGTTAGTACCTTTGAAGTCCCTGACATACATGGATAAAATTAACTCAAAAATTTATTAAGGTGCACAGGCACACATACGCAGTTTCTTAAGCATTTTTTCTGTAGGAAAGTGTGAGTATACATATCTACAAAACAAAATCTCACGGGCTAAATAACCAAACATTTTCAAACAAGCTGACCCAAAGCATATATGCTGCTTCCAATTTAGACACATGAATACACTATGTACATATGTTAGAGTTTAGTACAAAAACCATGCAGCTCCCCCTTCACGGGTTAAGCAAGGCATAGGCACAGCATGTGCATTTTACATGCCCTGTTATGTAAACGTGACGCACACACTAAAAAACCCCAACAACAAATTAACAACTTCTTAGCATCATAACTGAATGAATGGGTTCAGACACATTTCTGTGCAGTTACTGTCTAAATAAACAGGAACAAAAATAACCATATCCATAACTCGCAATTGAGAGAGCAGTACACAAATCCTATTGCCACAGTAGTGTACCTTAAACCTCCGTTGAAAACATTTTGGTTTTAATCTGTCAAGATAAACAAATAATAATTAAGCAAGTCAGTTTGTATTACTACAACACCCACCCCTGTCACTGCGCATCAAACTATGATCACCTTAATGCTATTCATTAGTAAACTGCGTGTCAGCGTTGCACTTTGATACAGACTGTTTCCTTACCAGCTGCCAAGGTCTGCCCCACGCCCGGCTCGCTGGTTACGCAGCCAATTTGGTTGCAGAGAGTAACGGTGAAGTTGTACGTCCTGTAAGGTTTTAACCCCGTCGCTACGTAGGACAGCTCATCAGCCTCAGCTATATGCAAAACCTGGAGAGCAAACACACGGGCAGACGGCAGCTGGTTAATAGTATCTTCATTCCTATTAATTGATGACATGTCCGCTAGTAAAACTTGTCTCTGAATTTGCAGGTTCCTTCATTTAGATGTGGGAAAGCCTGCAAAGACCAACTGAGGGAGAAGATTATTTTGGAGAATCCGAACAAGCTAGGATTTAGGTGATAATACTTCCCATCACACTGTTTTACGAGGTAATAAGCCAGTTCCTGAGTGGATAAGTGAGGAAACAAAGTTATTGCCTCATAAAGCTGTGTGGTGGTGCAGTTACCACTACAAACAGTGCAGCTACAACCCAGATGACGAAGATGACACTATTAAGTGGTGAAATCCGACCACCATTGAATGAGGGACATGATTAGCTGGCATCAGGAGGGAGGGGAATAACTAATACCTACAGACATTTGAATCTGCTTTACTTTAGCATTACTTTAAGCTATCAGAGAGAGTGGAACACAATAAACGGTTGTATTTTAGATACCTTCTTTATCAGATGTTTATTTAGATGAAAAATCTTGCAAACCTACCACCAGAAGCAATTTACATTTACGTATCGTTACAAGAGCCCCAGGAGCAATAGTATCCCCACTTCATAGACAAATAAAGTGAGGCCAATCTGTGGTACCACTGAAAGACAAAATCAGCTCTGAAATGAGAAATACAATGTTAGAGCACCAGATCCACTCCTGCATTCTGATTACCTATCATGTTTCTTTGCTCATTCCTAAGCTTTTAGCTTACTACTACTGCCATGGTATTTGTTTGCCAAACCCAATCACTCAAAAATTACAACAGTATTTTAAAATCACATATTTAGACTTTATAAAATTGGTTTTCTGCTATTTTAGGTTTCTCCACTTCAAAGATTTGTCCATTATCCAGGAAGCCAAACAGGTACCTTCTTAATGAAAATGCAGATTCCTACAAAGCAACATGGCTTTAAGCATATCAGCAAAGATAGCAATAATACAGAATCAGAACATGCAAAGATCAAGGCAATTTAAAAGTTGTTGCTCAATCTCATCCCTCCTAATTTTGAGTCTCACCCACTACTGAAAACAAGTCACCTCAGGAATACAACTTAAAACCTGAAAGTAGCATATAACATTACAGAGCGCTCAGGATAAACTGATAGGTGAAAAAGTTAGATCAAAGGATATACAGCAAATCAAGGAAACAATTCATCACCACAACATCAAGGAGGACATCAGACTATTCACTTTACTATTACCAGTTAGGAAAAACTTAATGTAACAAACCACAATACCTGGGCAAATGGCGGCAAGAACCTTTGTTCTGTCATCAAACTGATGCTGTATCCCATCACTTCTCCTCTCGCTAAATTATCCTCAGGTTTTTCCCACAACACATTGAGGGAATAGGGTGAAAGAGGGAATACTGACGGAGGTGGCATGAACACTGGGGCTAAAATCAAATTAATAGAATAACATTCATAAAGTAAGTGAACAATGTGTACAATGCAAGCTTTCTCACTGTATTTGTGAAGCACCATTTCAGAGAGTCTTTTCTTTTTTAACCTTAATTTCAAGTCAAACAGGAATTTTCAGATTATTTTGATAGCACATAAAGAGTACCTCACCCATCATTCTTCTGTTTTCTGCTCTGGCCATGAATGTAGAATAAAACTCTGCCTATACTTTCAAAGAAATACTAATCAGCACTAAAGTCCTAACCTCTGGAGCAGGTAGGAAAGTACATACAAATGAAAAAGTCTTGAAGAAAAACTTCATGCAACCTGGGAAAAAACTGATAAAAGCAAAAAGTGTTCAATACTTCAACATCCTAAAAGCAATTTTGTTTGCTAGGCCAGTTTGAAATTAACATGTCTCTCACTTCTTACAAAACAGTTCCCCTGTCTTCTATAGTAAATCTGTAAAAGGATTGTTTGGACTGCAGTCAAATCCCCACCTGATTACTCTGTAATAATAGGATACCAACTCATAGCACTTCTGCTACGTACAAACAACCGCACTAATGGACCTCTTCCCAAACACAATTTAACACTTTTATAACGTATAGTATTTAAGAACAGATAAGCACAAAGACTCATTTTGAAAGGGGAATTAGTTTAGCCTGCTATTTTGCAGAAGCAAATGACTGAGGACATGATTTTCAAGCTAACAGCAAACAAAAGCATCAGCAACGTAACAGAGATGTTTAATTGCAAAACATGGGCTCTATCAGCCTAAAAAAACTTGTATTTCTAATGTAAGAACTGAAACAAACAGCTGTTATTTCAAATAATATGTCAAGCAGCAAGCCCTTCTGAAAATCTGAACGGAAGGGCATAATAAGAGCTGCTGTGAACTGGTTCAATTTCCAAAAAAAAGGTTCATAGTATGACACTTGGCCTCCATAAAAGCATATCAAAAGTTTCAAGCACTATACTCCTGAAAAGGTAAACCTCTCAAGTTCTTCAAAAAAATTGCTTTCCAAGCAATCAAAGCCTCAGTTCAGGAAAACTCATTAGAGCTGCTTTCCTGAATATACATACCTTCTTGAACAACATTCCTGATTCAGACCAACTGTTAATACATTTGTGACAAAACCAATCTTTTTTCATGTTTTCTCCCTTTAAAGAACATGTAAATAACAACTGGGAAAATAATGGAGAATTCAAACACTGCTCGGTAGATTTTGCAATCTTGTAGTTTTGAAGTTTCAGTTAAATTGACCGGGATTATTTTCTTCAACAATATGACTTTAGGGTGAAGAAAAGGTTTTTTGCTTAACATGTTAAATTCTGAGATAATCTGACCTATCTTTAATTAGTTGAAAAATTATAAATTGTCCATATTTGAATCATCACTAGACATATGTTATTTAAAAAAATTTAAGAATGCATTCTAATTTCGTTTTTCCTTTAATTTGTATCAAACAAATTCAAACCAATACTTACCAGCCTCTCCTGTTCGTCCCGACATCCAATCTGAAGATACGCTACCTGCCATGTTTACTGCTAGCACATGAAATTCATACTCTGTGAATGGCTCCAGGTCAGTGACTGTGGTACTGGTCTGCGGTGGAGCCAGGGCATTTTCATTAGGAGACTCCATAACTGGTTGAGGACTGAGCCATCCACTGCTTTGGAAAATACGAATTTCAGGAGGAAGAAAGTTCCCAGCTGGTTTTATTTTTTTTCTCATGTAAAGTTCGTATCTTATAATTATGCCTAGGGAAAAAAAGCAAGCCAGAAACATTAGTGCATTTAAACAATTTCTAGAGTTCTACTGAAATACCAACACCTATCAATCAACATCATAGAAAATATAAGTTTTCCTCATTTCTGCTGTTTTCATCCAAATGCTCACTTTGGCATTTCTTCCATTACACTGTTTATTTTCCCCTCTTTGCAACTTTGGGATTTGAAAACGAATGGCTGGATTACAGCATGAGTTCTTCCAAATTTACTGGAAGACAATATCCTAAAGTTCTGATCAAATGTTACTGGAAATTACTTCAGACCTCTGATTTTCAGAGAGATATTTAAATATTTTTTACACAATGGGTAGGGAATTTTTGAGTGACAGTTCGATGCTAACCTTCTAGAACATGCTACTGGACAGGAAATGTGTGCGTGTGTGAGCGTCAGTATTCCATCAAAGTAAACCTATTACCTGCACAGGAAGGTCTCATCACTTTGGAAAAAAATAACTTCAGTGTTGTGGTATGAATTGATACATGATCTAGGTTGGATTGTGGAAGCAGTTTAACTGTAGGAACAAAGTATTAAAGAACTGACTGGAGACTTCCCAAATGGGAATGATGAGAGACACAGCAAAGGCAGGAGACAGCTAATTACCATATAATGTATATATTTGTGGCTGTACTCATGCACAGAACTGGAGAGGTAGCCTGGGAGAAACAGCTTCTCTCTTTGTCCTTCTAAAGACCAAGAAATCTGACCAGATATCAAAAGAAATATGAGAGTATTGCTTAAATCTATCTGTACTGGCAATTACATAAATGGAGTAAACAATGGCGAGTATATGCTACAGGTTGAGGGACAAGTGCTAACAGCAAATATCATGGCCTGCATTGTAGGAACTGCTCTCTAAGTATATACAGGCACTCTTGTACAGGCATTCTTCCTGTCTAATCTGCTCATAGCTGGCAAATGAGATGTTTGAAGAGAAAGCTGAGCTCCCCATACACAGACGTTCATTTCGTGAAGAGATCAAAATGCTTATTTTCGCATGCACAAATGTTTGCGCATGTAAGTGCAAGTTCACAAAAGTCCATTGCACATACATCAAAAGATAAATTGTTTACCAGTAAAATCTGTGGCATCACAGAAGTATCCTACAACAGCTGCGTTCTCAGTTTCAAAAACCTAAAATATTATTACGCAAGTTAGACCAGCAACTCTTGGCAATCACCTAATCCCTAACAAAGTTAAACTGGTAATAGAATTAGTTACTACATATGACGGATGGCTTTAAAAACAGACTTCTCTGTTAATTCTTAGTTTGTTTTTTTTCCATAACTGTTATCTGCTTATTTATTCTTTGTCAGGCACTATCACCACATCTGTCTGAACTAGGCGATCTGGCAAATAAGGAAAAAATTCATTTTACTCTAAGTGTTTAATTATAAATGTGATTTTTGCTTCAACAGATGCCACTAAGGGCTAAATCCTGGACCCAGCGTATTCAGTTGGAGTCCTGGGCTCCAAAAGAATAAAACACAGACTATGAGGGTATGTTTAGTGACAGACAGGCAAATTAAGACAATGCCTTACTTCATTCTCAGTTTATGTTGCATGGATAAGGATATTTTAACCAGATTTCAGAAAATGCTGCTTTTTCTTTGCAAAGTGTTTGACTTACAAAAGGAAATACAATGTCCTACCATTTGGTTTCTCAGGTGGTGACCATTCCACAGCCAGTTCTGTAGAGCTGATGGTTTCTATCACCGGAGGGTGTAGCCCTTCTGGAGGAGCTTGTGCAGTCATTACTGTTACTGGCTGGCTCTTTAAGCAGCCTCCACTAGTACAAGCTTGCACAGAAAAAACATATTTTGTAAATGGAATGAGATTCCAAATAATTGCTGAGGTTTTTAAGCCTTCATACTGACCACAGGGCTGAAGATCAACCAAGCTAGTGCATGTCAAAATGTATTTCTCTATGGGCCCAGAGTCATTAGAGAGGCTTGTCCAGTAAAGTAAAACAGAGTGTTGACTAACAGGAAAGACAGGATTTAAATGCAAGTTTCCTGTAGGCGTCCCAGATTTTGTTCTGTATGTCACCAAGGCACTTCTTGTAAAACCATGAACATTGCTGGCTTGGACGTAATAGGAGTAGAAGGTATATGGAGATAACATAGTATCGGTGAAGGTCTGAACACCTAAAAACAAACAGATGAAAAGAAAACTATATCAGTCTAATACATTAAAAAAAAAAAAAATCTTAATTTGCATAAAGTCTTTCCAGCCCTAATCCAAGATGTAAGATATCTATGCCCATTTGCATGCTCTTCTTGAGATCATTATGAACATTGTAACTTCTCAACTTTTTTTTTTTTTTCTCTAAACGGGGAAAAAAACTCTCCCCTTTTCTATCTTCCACTGCACGTTGGCATCATTAGACACGTAGTTTTTCCACTGAATTTCTCCTAGTTCCTGCTTTAATCATGAACAAGATAATACAATTATCTTCTTATTCCTGCTTTGCTTGGAAATAATTATTTAAAATATAAATCAGCATCAATATTAGTGGATCTGATTTAGGAAAAAAACATCAAGCCATTCTGTAAATATTCACACCTTTGTGTTTGATTCATTTCATAGCGTAAGACCAAATACTTCACCTTTCTGTGCTTTCACTTCCTCACTTCTAAAATAGTGCCTAATAGTTCACTTGTAAATAGTTAATTTGATCTTGGATGAAAAGTGAAACAGAAATGCAAATAATTTTTAAAAAGGTATATCCAAAGCCTATATTTACCTTCCTCACCCCCTACTTTCCATTACTCCATCCAGTTTTTTAGCAGCCACGACCATGAACAGGTCCTGGGTATATCCCAGAAGCAGTTACGCATCTTAGTCGTTACAGCATTAACAGGAATTGAAGTACGATCATACCACCATACGTTGTTTTGCCTTAAGAAATAGTGAACACTGAGTAATATACTACATGCCAGAGCATGGATACTCTTAAACTTTTTCAAAGCAAATGGAGAAGATACAGCTATTTCTAAGTCCTCCCTGTATGTCTGCACTGCCAAGCCAGCCCTGAGTCCAACTTAAAAAGGAGGACCACAAAATTATTAGTGTTGCTAGATATTCAACCCTTGACATTGCAGTACAAAAGCAGCAGTGTCAGCCCAGTAATTGCTTACAGTGCTTCAGCTACCTACAGCAATCACAAACTTCCTGCTGGAGTCCAGCAACAAGGAGACTGAGTAATCTCATCTTCATACCTTTCAAACCCTGGTACTGCAGGCCAGGTTGGAGAATGGCTCTGCCAGCAGCAGCGATGGTTATTGCTACATCCTTGTGCATGTGATCAAACATTGGAACAGGCTGCACAGGGAAGTGGTGGAATCACCATCACTGGAAGTGTTCAAAAAATACGTAGACATGGCGCTTGGTGACATGGTTTAGTGGGCATGGTAGTGTTGGGTTGATGGTTGGACTTGATGATCTTAAAGGTCTTTTCCAACCTTAATGATTCTGTCATTAGTATGAGCAGGCAAGTGAGGTAGCAGATTTCAGTCTTTCCAGTGAGATTCAGCTGTTTATTCTTCAGCTTTTGGGTCAGCATGCAGTTCGCAGCTGTGGGTGCAAGTACTCGAGCGTATTACAGAGTTGTTGAGCCCTTTCTGAGCTGCATGGACACACCTGCCCTGGCTGAAGTGCCTCTGGGCACAAGAGTGGGTCCCAAAGCCAATTCAACAGTTGTTAGACAAGACTCTTGGACAGGCTGACAAGAATTCTCGGAGCAGGAGCCTGGCAACCGGTTGCAAGGACACCAGCAAGTAGGAGCTTGCCCTGTGTCCAGTTCCCAGTTTTGTCTCCTGAGAAAAGAATGGCCACAGAGGCAGCAAAAGTCAGCATGCTACAAACTTGGGAGAGCTGCACTATATGGGATGGTAGGATCCCCATCCTATGGGCCTTCAACTCAAAAGGGCCACAAAGAAGAAAAAAAGCATGCAAGAACAAAAAAGAATATAAGAATGAAAAACCCCCAGCAAGACTGCTATCAGCAGCAGCAGCAAGTACCACAAATCCTTGTGAGATGACAAAACAAGAGTACCCCCTGAACTAGGTTCTAGGACCTCCCCCCATCAGAACCCACCCCTGCTCTAGAACCACATGCTGACCTGGAACCCAATATAGACCCAAAAGGGAAGATAGAACATTATCCAGAACATGATTGGGAACAAGAGAGTTGTAACGTTATCTGGAACCATCAAGATAGATAGAACCTGCTCTGGAACCAACAAGTGATCTAGAACATGCTCCAGAACCAAGCAGCAGACATGAACCAACCAGCAGTCCTGAACCAACAAGCAAGCTACCATGATCCCACTCTAGAGCCAGCAAGGAAACTGGAATCCCAATCTAGAACCAGTAACTGAGCTAGAACATTATCTAGAACCAATGTGTTGTCTAGAACGCTGTCTAGAACCAGCAAGCTACCTAGAGTGTGCTCTAGAACCAACACGGTACCTAGGAACAGAACAGCCTCTCTACAAAAAACACTATCTCCAGAATTCATACCTGCTCTAGAAACAACTGCACCACCACCACCCTAGTTCTACAAACAGACCACTAGGGCCAACCCAGACTCTAGGACCCCAAGGTCTAAAATGTCAACACCAAGCACATTACTTTCCCCTTTTCTAGTACAGGGATTGCAAGACGCAGATCACCCAGAATGCCAGAAAAGTAGCCAGGCACCATCTCAACGTTAAGAGAAAGTTCATTCACTGTGGATGAACCAGGTGGTAACTTTATTTCTATAGGAATATAGGCTAGATAAAATTGGATAAAGCCAAAAGGTAGAAGGTTCTACTTTCCTCAGGTGAACAACTCCACCACATATTTAGCTACATTTATAAATAATTAGAACCAATGTGATCTGGAGTTAGACTCATAAGTAACTTTTGAGGTCTGGTTTTGTTTGGGGTTTTTTTCCACATTTTAAAGAAAATACTTCATTTTATCCTCAATACAAGGATTGGTATCTCCTGAGCCTCTGGTTTCCCAGAGCTGTTAGGAAAACATTGTTTTAATTGGGCATTCTGCAATACTATCAGCCAGATCACCAGGACAATTTAGAAGATTATTCTTAATTGTCCTTGGGAAGTTCAATGTTTCTATAAAACTCTCATTTAGTCATAAGATAATGTTCACCCAGTTGCACTCTTGGGGCATTTCATAAGCAGTATAAATTCCACACTATACTGAGAAAAAAGTAACATTATTAAAAGTTCTGACATTAACAAAGTATTCGTGATATTCAAACATCAGCAGATGATTTCACATCATTAATTAGGGGTATTGCCAGGAAATGTCAACAAGGGCTTTTGGAACCAAACCTATGTTTTTATAAAATAATGTTTTGTTAAATAAAAACATGCTAATGTCTCATTATCTAGCTAAATACATTCAGAATTTTTCACTCTCTGCAAAGTATGTAGGTACAGTTATGAAATAACATCCTCAACAACGCACTCTGAGTTTCAAGTACATTACAGAGCACAAATTTATGGCAAAGTGTAAGAGCTTTTCTTCTGAAATTAATTCATATTAGGCTTTTAAACCAAATTAAGGAATTGGAATATTTTCTATTAGCTCTCTAAACTTTTTTTAATGTTTCTTTTTCTCCTCTCAATCACTTAATGCCATGCTTACATGGGGTTGAATACCTTTCTTCATAGTATGTACCGCAGACTGTGCAAATTCACAGCATAAGCCACAGAGCAATCAACTGTAACACAGCAGCACGCACCAGAACATAAAAATGCTAGGTGCATTCCAAAGGGTCTGTGCTTCCACTGAATAATAGCCTCTTTTTTAAATTTTTTTTCCTCCAGGGTACATGCCAATAATTAGACAGACTGAACTTCCACAAAATATTAATGCTGCATTGGTATGAAAATGCAACAAACTAAAGAACCTGCTAGAACAGAAGTCAAACGTTAGTGATATTAGAACACATCTGTCTTTAAAAAAACCCACTTGTGTGCCATACATGGATAAAAACAGGATCCAAATCCATCTCCTTTTCTGTGATAAGAGGATCAATAGTAGCACAAAATGGCCTTTCCAGCTAGGACAGAGTGCCGAATCCTTGAGGACTGCCTTCTGAGGATCCCTTTGCAAGCCTCAACATGAGAGAAGTGGTGCTGCTAAAGGCAAATCAGGAGCTACACTGATAGCTTAACAGAAGGTGCTAAAAGTTAGAGACCACAAAAAGCTTTCCTAATCTGTTAACAGTTTAAAACCGGGAAGATGAAAAAAGCGAGTTTAAGCACATTATGGTCTCTTCCATTCACCCTAATTCCTTCTCTGGGACTTTGCCTCTTAGATTTTGGAGCCTGTGTATATTTGCAGGGAACACTTTTAGTGAATCAATTAAAGGTTTTCAGATTAAAAAGTTAAAAATTATCAGCCATTTTGGGTGACCCAGTTTGCCAGATTTAAGACTGGAGTATTCATTTCTTTCAAACAAAATTAATAAACACAGAACAGCAACTCGCTAAAGGAAAACAGAATACTGCATTCAAAATCACAGATAATGATCATGACAGAAATGAGAAATAATTAAGGAAATATGCAAATATATATAGATATGTGCGCATACAACGCAAAAGCTTTGATGTCATCTTTCTATAAATACTTACTATAAGGGTAGTAGTCTTCAGCTGTATAAATTTCAGCCTCATCCCTATACAGCTGGTAAGTAAGCTTGTTGGAATTTGGAGAGTCAGGGGAACTCCATGAAAGACTGATAACAGAGGAATTGAGAATTTCTCCTGTAGGAGGAGGTTGCTGGAATGGAGCTAAAACATACACAAAACCAGAGGATGTAAAAATGAAGGTAATCAATAATCACACAAATTTAAATGAAAATGCAAAGAAACTGCTAAGTTTTCTAAGAAGAAAAACTGTCAAGTAAACATACAGTCACTCAGGCAAGACAATAATTGACTAAACTGATCCATCCAAATGCTCTCCAACAAAGCTTTTTATCCAGGTACATGAAACAAATTTATACATTTAAACAAATGACAAATAAACTTAATCCCCTCTCTGCCCCCAAATTAAAGCAACTATACCGGTTTTCCATACGCTTTTTAAAAAAATTTATTTCAAGACCACGATAAAACAGTAACATGTTTATCTGTTCATGTTATTGAAGTCTATAGTTCAATTATAATTTATTTTTTCAGAGGATTCATTCCATTTTAGCATAGGCCGGGCATAACTTCCTCTAATAGAATAGAAATGGAAAGTCCAACTAACTACAAATTTTACTGAAGTGTTACAATAAGCCTACTTAATTAAATGACAAAAAACATAAAGGGGCAAATTTTGAAGGTTATTTAGGCAATTCACTTCCATTTGTTTCCAATGAAATTTAAATCAATGAAAGCGAGGTGTCTCACATTTTAAGAAATCAGCTTGATACTCTTATTTACCAAAATACTACTGTGCTATCACCTCCATTAACTTTGGGAAATGTGCTTCTTTATTGCACTAGCATCAATAAAGAGAAAAACATGCCTGAAGTTCACAAAAGTCTCACATTTTCAGAAAAAGCAGTCAAAGTCCCTCCTATGTCTCTCTTATAATCCAACAGTATGATTACAGTGTCTTTCTAAGATAATGGCTGTCATTCAGAAATTAAACTTTATATGCATAGATGCACACATATAGACACGTGTGTGCACATAAACATACGGTTTAACAGTTGGACTCAAAAATCTTAAAGGTCTTTTCCAACCTAAATGATACTTTGATTCTATATTTATTATTCAAGTTGGAGCATCTTTTCCAACCTAAACGATACTATGATTCTATATTTATTATTCAAGTTGGAGCACGAGTCCGTATCGTGCTATCAGATTGCCAGCCAGCCTGTTACACTCAGGCAAGCGCTACCCTCTGACCCTCAGTACACCGTGCATTAGCACAGACGACCACCAGTCTGCTTGGGCAGCTAATAATTGCTATAGCTTGACTCAAAGGCAGCCTGTGCCATTTCCCTACCCTCTTTACCAAGGGAGGGAAAACCTGGAGAGCATGGACCTAGAGAACAATAGTGTGCTCCAGGTATGAGAATAGCCGAGGGCAGTACAGAAATCAACACACAGAATTAGCTACCAGGAGATGGATCCAGAACCGCCCAATAAGCTTCTCTGTCTAACATTAAACATTATCAGAAAAATATCAACTTTAGAAACATATGGCTTTTCTTTTTTTTTTCCTCCTCCTGTTTATAAACTATCATCACCTCCATTACATGGATATTTGCTTAATATACACAATTCACCAAAAGTTAATGATCAAAATCTGTTCAGCCAAGCTAACAGGAGACAAGAAGCAAAGAGTGAAGTTGCAGGTAGAAAGCGACATGAGGACCTCAAGCCACACGAGTGATGTAGAGGCTTACGCCAACATCAGTGGGTCACATTACGTATGGGTTTTTAATACAAATGTAAAATGTGATTTTTTTTTTATTTAGAGTAAGATAATGAAAAGCCTTGCTTCTACTGCAGTCTCTCAGCCAAGAAATAGCAGAAAATATTTCTAGAATTCATTGGATTGAACAGAACATGTAATCATCATCTTTCATTAGAAAGCATAGGTTGTTCTGCTGCCAATCTAGAGCTTTTTGAGTTCAGCCGAGTTAGGAAGTGAATGTATGCTAGAGGATCTACAGCAGTGAAGTTTGAGAATCAAAGGAAATAAGTGCCCCTAAATCCCTTTGGCATTTTTAAAAGTTTCTCTCCATGTAACACATGCTTACCAGACCTGAGCAATCACAGAAATTTACTGGCATAACCTTCATTCTCCATTCTCAGTCTCACGCCATTGCATGTTGATCCCATGTGTTTGCTGTTTTGCATTTTAGATGTGTAAGCAAAGTACTGTATTTCAGGGTTCTTTATGGCACATCTAGGATATTGTTGGGCATCAAAATTGAAAATAGGCCTTTTCCTTAAAGACTGTTAGTTGGACAGTGACAGAAACTTATGTTTGCCTCCCTTGGCAAAGGCTTGTAACCAGTAATGGTATGTGTCAACAAAATACTGTTCTGCAGCGAAAATAACCACAAATATCAAACTAGGCAAAGCTCCATATCTGTGCAACAAGTTAAAATACTTTGGAATTAATAACCAAAAGACTGCAATTGCTATAACATTTATGTCCAGAAGAGGACTCCGCTTGTCATTTAGAATACTGCCTGATGTATTTTTTTCTAACTAAAATCTATGACATTGTTTATCTATATCATATTGTTATTAATCGATTTTATAGTTGAATTACCATTGCCCTTTATTCAATGTATATCCCAACTTAAATAAGTACGTTGGTTTATGTTTGCAAAGCACTTTGAAGATGAATAGCATCATAAAAGCACCATGTATTATTATTATACATTCAGTTGAAACATCCTACAGTTTTTAAAGAAACAGGCCAATCACCTCTCTGCATAATGAATAGATACTATGCCTTCTACAGAAGGCTATGGGAAAAAAACAAAACAGAACTGTATCTAAACACATCCAAACTTGGAGAAAAAAAAAAATCGTCTTTGGAAACAAATCAGACTCTTCATCCTATCTCATTTAGAGCACTGTGCCTTCTGCAGTGCCCATTATTTGAAATTTAAACCGATTTACGATGAAACACGAACTGGAATGAAAGTGAGAGCTGTCTGTCCTTGTAAATGAACATCTCTGCTTGCAAATCTACACAGTGTGGACGTATCACAATGATGAATGTCCTACAAATACCTACGCAAAATACACAAAGAAATGTTTTGTTGAAGGAGGATCCCGAAACATACTCCGGAGATCATTTGGGAATGTCTAACGCTGTTGTTGCATTACATATGGCTACCTGAGCTAACTCTTGGAGTAGGAATGGACTGGCCATTATTAACCTGCTGACAGAAATAACCAATTCTCATCTGCAGGCTACCTCAGTAACTGATTACATGGACTTCCAAGACTGGGCTGTTAACTGCGTACAGCAGTAAGGTGTGTCCCAAAAATGTAACACAACATTTTCAGAATTAGCTGAGGTCCTACCCACACAGTTTGGCATTGCATGGTATCATGTCCTCAAAGCCCATTTCAGAACATTGAACTGAAGGTAACAAAAATTTAATTTTCTTATTACACATGATAATCTCCTCCTTTAAAATCCCTGCCAGCTTAGAGACTCTGCACTAGCGAGCAAATCTGAACATTTCATTTCGACTACTTATGACACAAAGACTGAAATTGTGCCATCTCTTCATAGTCAGACTTACTGCAAGGGGACAAGTGCAGATGTGCCATTGCAAAGTATTTCATTACAATTCATGATCTCACCGTCAACATAGCATTAGTCCTACCTCACACACTCCGATTTATGACACTCTGTTACACCGCATCGCGTATTTTCCCAAACTGACTGAAAAAAAACAACCCAGGAGGAGAAAGGCAAAGCAACATTGCACTGAGCAGCAGATTTTGAACTCATCATCAGGAGCAGGTCTTCAACAGACGTTCTGTTCTTCAGACCTTCTGAAGACAGGTCTCCTGCCTCCTGTCAAGGGCAGGAAAGGGGGCTAAGCTGTAAGTTGTACAAAGACTATCACAATTCCTGTGACTAAAAGTGAACTCTGCATTGGTCACTACAAAGAACACGGTGGAAAGTACAAGGGAACTTTGGGCTATTACTTCTCCCCTGGGTTAGACTGCAAGCATAAGCTGTGTGTGTGACACGAGGCATTCTGTACATCTCTCTGGAAAACACTCCTGAGATACTCACAGTGAAAATCACCCAAACTTCAGGAACCAGAAATATGGGGCAGGGGAGAAGTCGAACACTGTTTTAGTACTGCTGACCTAATTTAATACTCATGAAATCAATAATAAAAAAAAAAACATTAATTTGAAAGACATGCTTTTAAGACCTAACATCCACTTACTTTTACTGCAGCCAAATAGGTTGTGGACATCCAAATTACTAGCATCAGGAACACAGTTGTCACATTTCAAGCCAGTTACGAATTGTTTACAAACACACTGTCCAGTAACAAGATGACAAGTCCCACTAATGGCTCCTGCAGGATGACAATTACAGTGCTGACATCTACAAACAAGAACAAATCAAGGAAGTGATCAAAACACATTAACACTCCAGTTAAGCACAGTAGGGCTTTGTTTAAAAGATTCTTGGGTAAATATTTAAAAAAATCATAAACAGTTCAGTAGCCTAAGAAACGGAAGAAAAATCTATTAGCCTAATTAAAAAAAAGTAACTTACAAAAAAGGTGCCCATTATAAAAATAAACATTAAAATTTCAATGAAATGGAATAATATTCCAATTTAGATAAAAACTGCTTAGAATTAAAGAGCTCTCATATATATTGATCCCTACACAAAAAAGATAATAATGTTTGGGAACAACCACATTATGCACTCAGTCCTGCAATGCTTACTCACACAACCTTTCTTGCACAGCTGTAGAGTTCAGTGATACATGTGTAACTGGCTTCATAGGTTTCCGCACAAAATATGCTACCTTCCAACTTAGAGGAAACTAGGCTTTTGTTGAAAAAGAAATCAGTTAATAAATTGTTGTCCACAAAGGCAACTTGAATTGAAAAAAATAACACGCCGTGAATAAAGGAGAATGTGCGTAGACAAAAATCGGGAGGAAAAAAACACAGATTGAAACAGTGAAAGGAAACAAAATAGCAGAAATACGAATATTGTAAAAGAAAGCACATTTTCTTTGCAGCCTGATGGACAAAATTGAAAAGAACTGAAAAGAGTAATTAATTGTGTAAATTAAATTATTTTTAATTAAAGAGAACAAAAAAATTAAAAGCATTGGTATCACACAAATGCCACATTTCCATTCTGTAAATCTCTCTGGCATCAGTACAGTACTTTCAGGATTAATATATGCTTTGGCTTTTGCATGTGAAAACTCTCATGATCAACTTGTTTTTCACTTGATATACTATTCCCCCACTGGCATTCATTTATAGTCGGGATACCAATGTCAGATTATGCAAATATTCAAAGACTTGGAACATCTCAGAAGTTAAGCAAAGCAATTTTTTCCTTACTGCAAATACTGTTATGCTACCCGTTGCAATACAGACTGCCACTATTAGCATAACAGAAAGTCAACAATGGCAACTAAAACTGTATAATTTAATTCCAATTTCGCTCTATTTTAATTGCTGCAGACTAAAAGAGTTTCGAAAAAACATGGACTGGGAGAAATGTGGGACTGTACAGGGCAGCTAAAACATACTGGGGAATCTACACATGACTCCCCTTGCCCCGAGCTGGAAGAGTCCCATTCTCAGGCATAAGCAACATCAGCCCAAAGGGAATCTTGAATTACTCCAGATGCCAGGTCCCAAGATGATGAAGCTGCAAAAAGACCTTGAGGAAGTCCAAGGGAGAGACGGTCATGCCATGTCCCCTTTGCTCTGCTAATCCTAAGACTAGACAAGAGTTGTTCATTTATATTTGGCTGATCTTTCCTTGGCCGGTTTCACCAGATCCAAGGAAATAGGTGGTGGTGGCTTTACACAGGTTACTTCACCATTTTTCCAGTCATTACCATCACCTTGGTCTATCTCCTTCTATGTATATGAACGGAGAAATAAAAGTGAGTTCAATTATAGTTTAGGTATTGGATTTTTAAGCCAAGGGGGAGAGGAGGGGAAGGTGGAAACTGTTTTCACATCAGGACACTAAAATTCAGGTCAATAATCAGTGAAATAGACATTACATGTGACAGATTTTTAAACAAGTTTAAGAAAACTCTTCACATACATTTTCTGCCCATCACAGAGCTCTCTCTATCTGTATGGAGTTTCTTTACTCCACAGCAGCTCATGCTGTGTGATCTCCTGAGTAATCATTCAACACCCTTAAAAGGGCTGATAAAAGCTAAAGCTGCAAAATAAGCTGCAAATTTGTTTTATGGACTAATATCCTTTTGGGAATAAATAAAATACATTCTCTCTTGGAAACCACTATACTGTAGTTTGCTCTCTTTTATAGTCAAGAGAAAAGGACAATTTTTTCAAACTGTATTAAGTCTTTTCATCTGTAGACAGTGCATCCAAATCGCCTTCAAATAGGGGTTTTGTTTAGACTATTTAAATGTCATGACTGAAAAAAATGCTTTAACTAGAGAGAAAAAAATGAAGACAGAATTATTTGCTCAGTAAGACAGTACTTCATTATTTCATAATTTCATTACATGACGATATTTAGTACATACAGTTTGCGGGGGTGTTAACAAGTGTCTCAATAGGTAAACAGTAAAAGACAAGCTTCTCTTACTGCTCCTGTATATTACTGCACCTCTTACGAACAAGAGCCCCTTGAGTATCCTGGTTTTCATTATCATTCACACATAAGACAATGAAACTCGCATACACATACAGTCACAGTAACCGTTTTCAGTGCCTGGCACGGTGGGGCTGCTTCCTTCTGCATGAAATAGTAGCATTTTTTTCTAGGAAAAGTCTAGGCTCCCTACATCTGCCTATACTGAATTAGGCTCCAGATCCTGCAAGCAACAGCCCACATATCATCATACTCTGTTTCACAGGATTACACATTACATTTGTGTAATCACATGCATAATTTTCTTAAACTGCAGGACGCTAGAACTGGCTTTGTTACTATGCATAGTTCATGCTTTTCAGTGAGGATTAAGGATTTTTTAAAAAATAACCAATTCTTTGAAACTTTTAATCGTGTAATAAATATTTTCAGCATTCTTCTTAAATGCTACTTCTTCAAGATACCCCGAGTCAAATATATTTGAGTTTTATTAAAACAGAATTATATATAATCATGGAAAACAGACTTTTAAAACATGGAAAGAGAAATGTCAGGCCAAGATGAATTGCAATATTGATTTTGTGAGGATAAATGGTTTTTGTAATATTAATACAGAGAAACCTTTATTACATTGACTCTCTAGGTGCAGTTAGAGCCTCTCCAGCAATCTGTTTAAAATCTTCATTTTTTATCCTTATGGGAAAACCTCACTTGCTAAATGGATTTCATAAACAGTAATCTGTCAAGATATATATATATAGATAAACAATTTGTGATGTTCATTGACCGGTTCATTATAGTAAACAATATAGAAGTAAAGCATTTCACATGTGTACCAATGCCCACAGCCATTACGGATCTGTTCAGACCACAGCAAACATCCAGTGTCTCTAATTCTTTAATTGCCAAGGAAATCTTCCTGCTTCATAAGCTGAATTGCATTAAAGAATATGGAGTTCCCGTTTTATCTCAAAAATGTCAGAAAATAAATCAGCTCACATATACATTCCTCAGAGGGGGAGAATTTTAAAGCCTCACACTCTGTGTGTCACAATTTTTGTTTCTTTTCTGCTGTGGCAAAGACGTATCCGTCTTGGCACAACTACAGATAGCTCATATCCTTTTCGTCCTGTAACCACAGCGCCCTTAAAAGACACTTGGAGCAAGGATGGTTTAAATGACTTTGCAACTTTACAAAGAAAGAAAAAGCACATTACTCTTTTTAAGAAGATATTAACAGTTAAAGAAATGGATTAAAATAGATTAACAAATAAAGACCTGGATTATCATTTTCAGTGGATAAATGTTTCTGCTTGAGGACCAGAGGTACCCTGCCCAAGTAGATGCTAACCAAAAGGAAGCCAAGCATATGCAATACAAGTTAATCATGTTAATGTACTACCGGAGCAGTCTTCAATAGTGTCATGAGGATTAAGTAGTATTAAGGCATTAAAGCCAACTCTGATTCAAATTCAATTCCAGAACTGTAAAAACTTTCTATCTTTAAAAGATGTGGGTCTAGATGATTCTAGATATTTTCACATTTTGAATTTCAGAAGACAGTTCAAAACGCAAGCAATTGGAGGCCAAAATCTAGTTCAGGAGAGCTATTGCTTAACACAGACTGGGGGGCGAGGGGTGTAGAAATCTACTCCAAGTAACTAAAAAAAGAAGATCATTAATAATAAGGAAAATATATTTAAAAGGGAACTTTGGTATTACACAGATTTTATTCCTTACCATTAGAAATGACAGGAAGTGAAAATAGGAAGTCCTTATTCCTACATATTACTTTTATGGCCATTAGTAGATGCCTCTGTGACCCGCAACAGTAAAAAATAATTTTAAAAATCTCCTAATGAGTGACAGTAACATAAAAGTTAAAGTGAAAAATCTGCAGAATAATGTCAAGAATATGTAAGATGACTCTGATAATCACTGCCTAAAAGCATATCTACCCCACACTAGCTGGGGGAAATGAGCACAGGGAGGTTACATGTTGTATAGAATTTGCTTCTGCCTGGGGATTTTTTTTTTAAAGGCAAATATACTAAACAAAAAAACAATTTAACACCCTCAGTCTGCATGAAAATATGATAGCATTAGAGCTGTGCAATCTTTCCAGACAATATTTAAAAGGAAATTGAGATTGTAGGGATTAAGCAAGAAAGATCACCCTGGAAAAGAAAGATAGAGCAATAGTTGGAATAACAATGCACTACCTATAGCTACGTTTTTCCCCTTACATCCCAGGGAATATATCCATACACTTTCAGTGTACCTAGAGGCCCTAGGCTACATGTGATAAACAATTTACCCTGTGGCACATAACTAAATGCTGAAAAAGAATACATTGCTTCAGAAAAACAGATTTTGAAGAGGAAAGGTGCTGTGAGTATTTCAACTGCTGCTAAAAGAAATTTGGAAAGACAGGGATATCTAATTTTTTACTTCTTTTCTTCTCCATTAAAATGTCTTCCTGAAATCTTCAAAAGCATTCACTTTTTGAAAATCTTCCTCTTCAGCGAGGAAATGTAGAGAAACAATTACCAAATAGCTATAACATTAGATAACATTAGCTTTATACAGTTTTCATGTTTTTTCTACTTAAGTCTGTGGCAAAACTATTTCCTTCAGCTCCTGGGAGAAAAGAGGGTTGTATAACGTACCACATGTAAATCAGAGCGCACACATGAATTCAAAGAAGGATTAATGTAACTAGAGCACATCTTTTCATTGTCACTAAACCTTTGGATGAGCTACTATGAGAAAAGTGTAACAAGGAGGTTATATGTGACCTGTAAGAAAGAAACACTCACCTCCCTGTGACAGAGTCAAATCCAAAATAAAGTTCTTTGCAATGTTGACACGTCTGTCCTGTTACAGAAGCATCTTGGCAAATACACTGGCCAGTAAGTTTATCACAGATCTGATTCACTGAACCAGCCATGTGGCACAGGCATGGCAGACAGCCAGTGACACTGGATGGAGAAAAATAAAAACCTGGAAAAGAAAAGGATTTTGAGACTAGATAATATGCAAAAAGTGAACACCGTAAGATTATTATTAACATGTGTATAATCAGGGATGAAACAACAGAACTAAACCTTAGGTAACACACACATCAACTCAAATAAAGCAATATAGTCCTCCTGCAGAGCTGAGCTTCTAAATCTTCTCATTGGCACTTTGTAAAGCTATTATTCATCCTCCAGTTGCCAACTCCGATTTTTTATTCTCTCTCTTCAGACTTTATTTTAGTCAGAGAAAATGCAAAATAGGGGGAGTACATTAACATGTCCGTGGGGAAAGTAAAGACCCAAGGACATGAGAGCTACTAATGAATGCACCACAAGCGGTAGAAACATAAAAAATAACATGCAAGATCAGACATTTATCCATTCTAGTCTGGGACCTCATCCCTGACAATAGCCAGTTGGAAAATGCACGTATTTTCTTAAGAAAGTATCTTCACCTTTCTCAACCATGGTTGGCTTAATCCTTGAAACATGAGGATGTTTCTTCGAAAAACCTACATCTGATGAGCATTCCCAGGCCTGTGTAACAACACATAGTTTGCATGCTACACAAGTACTTTTACAGGAGCTAATAAACTGATTTAAAAAGTTACTTATCTGCTATAAAAAAAGCTTTCATTCTGAATCACATCCTTCTGTTCCTGTATTATTTCCAGTTATGAACTGGAGCATTAATTTCACCTTCCCTACAGTATATTTGGTATGCTTCTACTATATTGTCTTTCATTCTATTGCCCTCACAAGAAATCTTTATCTGTGCAAATCTCTAACACATTACTGATAAGTACAGTTAGATAGAGTTTATACACCTCAAATCTGGTCATTGAAGAATTTACCCATTATTCATAGCCTCACTTGAAATTTCAAACAAAAGAGCTTTTAAGCACATTTTTTTTAGTGATGCTGTAGCACTAGCATAATCTCTTTTGCTAACTATGGACTTCTTCCATTCTTACTAATTTCTTTTCTATGTGTCTGATCAGAAGACAATTCAAGTAAGAGAACACTAGTACGAAATATAATTACATAATTTTCAAAATTTATTTTCTATTTTTTACCTGATTATCAATAGACATTTTACTGGGTTTTTCACACAAATTGCCCTTTTTTTCCTGAGTGGTACAGTTGATTAAAAATGTAGCAGTGTGTATGAGTTCTGCAAATGATGATGGCAACACAGTATTAACTGGCACTCGTCAACTGCAAGTACCTGTCTTTGAACATCAATCCTAAGATAGGCCCATTGATAGGAGTTTCTGTCTCTCTCAGCTAGTTACTATTACTTATTATTGCACAGCTGCAATAGAAGAATTTCAACCATTACTCAGACATACAGTATTTGTAGAGACTTCTCGAACACTCTCCCTCCCTCTCTCCAATTCAATCAGTTTCTTCTTAGTCATGTTCTCAGTTACCAAATCTATTCTGCTGTCCAACAACTTTCTGATGTCCTGCTTTATTTTAAAGAGCCCCAAATCGTATTGTAACATGTCATATCACCCAAGCCCTTATTATTTATTTTGTCTTACAAGAGATAGCTTTAGATATACACCCCTAGGGTGGTATTCTCTGTCTTCGCAGCAGTGTTGCGCTGTGAGCTCATACCCAAATAGCAGAGGAACTAAACAAATTGAAAACATTAGAATTTTACTGCTCAAACCTTTGTTCAAGTTTAGCCTCTGGTCCTCAGTGAGATAAATCTCAAGTGGACAGTGAAGTGATATCAGTCTCCAGTTAACATACATTCACATCATAAAAAACCATGCTGTTGGCACTTTATTCCAGAGAGGCTCCGAACTGAGCCACCACAGAGACTGAATAGCTTGAAGTTATTAGTGAGGCAGCATGTATTATCTCATACTGCAGTTGTCTGCGCAGTATAGTGCCCATCCTGTGCATAAATAGAGGAGACCATTTCCCAGCAATGTCACTCTTGAGCACAATGAACGACTCCACTCAAAGAACGTAACGGGAAGATAGGAAACAAGCTTAAGCCTGGACTCCTGCAGAAGGTCAAAGCACTTCTTCAGGACCCAGCTTATAGCTGCAGTAATTGATAAGCACTCGGGCTAAAACAGATCCTTGTCTGTCTGAAATTTTGCATGAAGCTAGTGTCTAAGAAAAGACTACGGTGGGAAAATCAGCACATCTCTAGAAAATAAATTCATTTTAGCTGAGCAGGATTGATCGCTGTAGTATTTTTTTTTTTGTCCTAGCAGTGAAATTCATAATTATAAAGAGTCTATACCTTAATGTTAAACATCCTGGCTCTCCTGATGTCATACTGCCTGAACTACTGTAGAGCAGTGAAGGATTTGGTATGCTATTTTTTTATAATAAACTTTTAGAAATGATCTAAAACTTTAGCTAAGTTTCTGGATACTACCAGAAGTGGCATGTAAAAATAAAAAAATTTTTAAAAGTACAAGTGAGGGGTAGGAAAAGGGGAGAAAGTCCTTCCCCCGACTAATTTAATTAAATTAACATGATTAAATGTAGATAAAAGAGAAGAGACACCGGATTACAAATTCATACTGTGTGTCACAACCATTATTATTATTTACTTCCACCACCGAGAATTTGGCAGGAAAGCATAAGAAACAACTTAATGCAAGTTCAATTTACAGCAAGGTTAGAAGGGCTCATAAAAGTTGCTTTATGAAGGATCCGCTGTTGTATAATAGAGCCAATTTCCAATTTTAAGACAGCCACTGCAAATCTCTACAAGATCTATGTATATAACTAGTATTATGCTTATTCTTTTTCAGATTTTTTTTCAACTCAACCATAACTGATCACATTTGTCAATCAAACATACTCTTCAAAAGGAAGAATGAAAGTCACAGCAAAGTATTCAGCCTTCTTTTTTAATCATACTGTTACTATTTCTCCCACTGTATAGCTCATGGAAAAGGAACACACAAACAATTCCTTGGCACTTTTACATGCTTATCAACTATGGCAGTAATGCTTATTTCTTAACTACAAGCTGTGCTTCAAAATCCACAGTTAACAAAATCAACAACGTTGCCACAACATACTTCACATTATTCTGGCCAGGAAGAGAGGTAGTACGTACACAAAAACTCAGTATTGGTGCCTGGCCACACATCCTGCATGGTGGTTACATCTTTTCTGTACTATGTTACCATTTCATGAAAAACTGTGGTCACCGAGTAAAGAACTTAAAAAATGCTTTTTTCTTTTTTTTTTTCCCCCCAGCTTTGCTGCTCTCATAACAGGATACAAGACCTGCGTTGAACAGGATTTGTATGGCACAAATTCCAGTTGGTGTGGCAACACCGTCCCGGAATGAGGCAAGGACAAACTATTCGCAACTATTTGAGGGCTGGAAAAATAAAAACAAAACCAAAAATGTTTTCTACCACTGCAACCTAGGACATCTCAAAAGCAAGTGTATGTACAAGCTAAAACTCCTCTTTCACTTGGTTTCATGTTAGGATCAAGTGTTCCTCTCTTTGCATGTACCATTATTTAAAAAAAAAAAAAAATTAAATGTACAGAAATCTACAAAAAATGTTACTTGTATGAGAACAAACCAGAAGAGAGCAGGTCATGGATATAGCCTAACAGATGAAACACATGGCTGAATGCTCTGGAAAGAGTTGTTTTTTTGTAAAAAAAAAAAAATTTCTCATGATAAAATAATTTCCCAAAGTTACATCCAGTTTGAATTCTTCTCCATTGGCAACTCTTCCTGCATTAAGATTTTGTTAACTTTTGGAAAACTCTCAAATGTTATCAAAGCATACAGGAGATGTGCTACAATGGGACATTATTTTGAAGACCACTAGCTACAACAGAATTACACAGAATAAAAAAGAGAGACATATAACCTATATTCCACTAAGGAAGCTTGGACCCCAGAGTTGTCCCAACAGCCTAAGAAGTCCTCAGTATGCTTTCAGGTTGCCAGTTTTAACTAATTAATTGCGTGCTTTTCATTAGGCTGTTGGCTACATATATACTTGGAGTACATTTTCTTATCTTTGTCCCAAGGCAAAGCCATAGGACATGTTTAGAGAGTACTTGAAACCAATTAAACTCTTCCATACTTCTACAGCTTAATACCAGTATCACTGGCAGGTGATACTCACCCCTGTTTTATAGAAAACTCTCATTTGGAACATACTAAACAAAGAATATTTATATAAAAGTTAGATATGTTAAATGTCTAAATGAGCTTATACTGGGATCAACACTTAAAGGTCACCGAAAATACCACAGTACACTGCACTACATTAAGAGCAATACAATGCTTTTACAATGATAAGGTTTTACACTTACACCTGCAGAAGAAACCTCAGTGTTCAGCACATTTACGCTTACACTTATTACTTAGAAAGTTTAAAAATAATTCTTACAAAAAGATTTTTTAATTTTTTTTTTTTAACGGAACTATTGTGGAAGTATTCCTTCGAGTGCCATGTAAGCTTTTCTACAAACCAGTCTGTTCATACTATCAATTAAACCTTTTTAAACCTTTTAGTTCTGCATAAACCCTGACCTTTCTTTTTCAAGGACAAGGGCGGTCACTGACTCGGGAAGACTTGACATCACTCCTCTGCCGATCTCTGATTAAGTGGCTGCTGTAGAGGGTTAACAGGTCAAATAGCACTGGAGGAGGAACTAAGAAAAACAGAATGCTGCCTTATTTATTAGTATATGTACCTAAAATAATTTAAATGAAAGTATTTTTAAAAATACTTAATGGAGGTTAAGCAGCTTTTTTAACCTCTGTTCAAATTATTGAATGGCATATTAAAACCAATGAAGCTATAATGTACCTTTTAATGTGACCTGCTACCTTAAATAAATTACATATGTATTTAACTTGAACTACATCTGTTTAATATTGTTACTAAGGGTAGGTTAATATTACCTATAGTTTCACTCTACCCACCTACTTTTTAAACCAAAAACATTAAAATATAACTACAGAGCTTCCCACTTACGATGAACATTTAAACTCCGTTTACAGTAATATGGTACAAAATCTTGAACTGATACCCAATAACTGCAGTATCACCTACTTGTAGCACCAAACTGTAAGCAGTCCTTGTGAAAGCCAGCACATCCTCAACACAGCAAGGCAGGCAAATGGTTTTTAAGTGGCACGTTTGCCAGCCTCATCAAAGTTTAAGCAACCATCTTGGTACCTCCTGCCATGCTCAGTTTTATGCGTGAAGTGCCCTTCCTGAAGGGCTTGCACTCTGCCTTCCAAATACACATTTTTCATTACATGATAGCTGCTGTTTATCAAACTATGCTAGTTTACCTTTTATTCAGTGAATGGGCCATGACTATTTGTATATTTTCTCAATATCTGGAAGCACTAGTCTTAACCTTATTTTGGACATGTTGAAACTGCAGTAATAACACAAATTACACAACCTCTGGCAATAGAATGAGTATTTGATGGAGATCAGGACCTTGATACTTCCTTCTCACTAACACAGTTAGGAAGAAATAGAAAAATAATTAACATAAGTCAGAGACATGTCTGACATGAAGCTTTCTTAAACACATACTAAAAACTATAGGAACAATGATGATATCCAACAAAGCAAAACTTACTACATCAAATAGATTGTCTTCCAGTTTCCTTACCTGGTTTACACTCATTACACCTTCTCCCCTGACGCTGAGGCAAACAGACACACTGTCCAGAAACGTGGTCACAAACTGTTCCTGCCAGTGTGCCCAGAGCATCACAGTCACAACGCTGGCAGCCGAGGAGGTTGCTCATGCTGAGGTTGTATGTATGGAGTGTGCACTGACTGCACTGAAGGCCAGTTACACCAGCTTTGCAAGGACACTGTCCCGTTGATTTGTCACAAAGCAGAGAGCCATTTACTGTACCTGCCTTATCACAATTACACGGCAGACAAACAAAGGAATGACTTTCCTGCACTTTGCGGTAGCCATCTAGGCATTCGTCGCATTGTCTTCCTCCGGTATTTGGTTTACATGCACATTGCCCTGTCTTCACGTCGCACGTGGTTCCAGAAAGCGACCCTGCAACGTTACATTCGCAAGCCTTACAACCAGCTTCATCCAGCCCATAAAAGTTGTCCACGCAGGTGTCACAGTGAAGTCCTTTCACTCGTTCTTTACAATTGCACTGCCCAGAGAGAGGGTTGCAGAACTGGTTCACCGAGCCGTGGCTGTTGCACCAACAAGGCTCACAGCCATCTTCGTTAGAATATCGGAGAGCTTTAAATCCAAAATTGCAACTATCACACTTGAGACCTGGAAGGGGAAGGAGACAAGGTATTAATAAAAAAAGCTGAAAAACTATTAATCTCAATTTTAAAAAAGGGATAAGTATACTACACTTGAGGAAAAAAAAGGGAGAGAGAAAGGAAAGGACTAATATTCTTCACCACCATAATTAACAGGAATGAAAGGGCTGCGCAAATCAATTGAATAAGAGTGGCACACCAAAATTCTGTTTACTTCTCCAATTTGTTTCAGAAGTGATGCGTTTCTGCTGGCTTCTCAATACAATTTAAGATACTTCTGCAAGAGATTCTTTGTAACATTTCTAAGACAAACCAGAATTAATCTCTTTGTCCCTCAGAACAGTACCTGTTGCACAATCAATGCTTACATGAACCCTTGACCCTATATTGTAAAAATGCAATATACAGGGAATTGCACTGGGCTTTCAATCTGTTTTGAAAACAGACTTATATATTGTATTAAAAACATTAAATATACTCTAGGACATCACAAGTTAGACTAATTATGATGAATTATTTATTTAACACTGTACTTCAGTTTTAACATTGATTACATTTATGTTAGTGTTTATTGTTAGCCCTTATGGAAAACAGAAAATATTTTCCATAATCCAAAATGAAATATTTTTATCCCAATGTATGATTTAGTTAACTTCTGCAGTACATTAAAACCTAAACTGTTTTCTTCATACTTCATCTGGTAGTTTCATTAGCTTTGTTTTCAAAGACATCACTTGCTTTATCCCTGCCCCAAGGGATGGCATTTTCATTTTAGTTTATAAAAACATACATTACAAGAAAGCAAACTAGATTATTATATGAGAAATGCAAATTCAGTTATGTATTTTCCCTTGCAATAGGAAAACCCTTCACTATGAAGCCATCACTTAATTGTTGCATACAGAAAAATATAAATACAACGTCCTAGCAAATATTGTCATCATTTAAAAAATAAAAAACTATACAAAAATACATCTAGCAACTTACATGTAGAAAAATAAAACTAAAAATGGTAGGAAATGCATTATACATATGGATAAAACCTCAAAAACTCCAACATAAGGCAAGTTCCTTTAACAGTGATGAATGACTCACCTAAGGCATATCATTTAATTTCAATAAGGAAAATAAAAAAGGACCACTATTGCTGCAAATTTTAAAAATAACTGTATTGTTAACAAGAATTATGACTCATTTTGAACTATTAAAATTGGTCTACATGGATTCATATCATATCAGTTTTAAAAATATGCGCAGTGCTTATTTGAATATGCCATACATATTCCTGACAGGTAATCTATTCCTAACGATACTGAGGGAGGCCTACAGGGCATCACATTCAATGTTAACAAGTACAGGGGAGTTAGCACGCTTGGCATTTAATTCACATTCTTCTACCTTTTTATTCTAGATGAATGACCTACTTTAATAAAATTATTGGTGCTAATGTATTTTACTGGTGATAGAATCATTAGTAAGATTTAACAGTTGTGTTAACTCTAACAGTTCATGTTTCATAACACCGCAGTCCGTAGTTGCATTTTTCTGTTATCATGTTTGTTTAAATAGATAAAATGGCAATAGACAGACTGCTCTAAAAACCCATTCAGAAATCCAAAAAGAGCTCTTCGTTAAAAGTTTGCTGCACACGTTCCGGTATACAGAAGCTTATTTACAGTTCGTTTGAAAAACAAAAGATCCCGTCTGGAAAGAATTATGTCTTTATCCTGTGAACAAACACTTGCGTAACTACAGCCTTCCACCATATTTACAGCTAAATTTGCAGAACGCACGATTTACACATTTCTTGTATGACTATTTCAGTGGAAAAAAAAAATATTTCTTACTGTTTTCATCAAAGGGAAAAAATATTTTAAATAATACGTAGACAATCAAACACATGAGAACCAGACTGTGCATTTCTCCTACACCAAACTCCCCCTGAGTTGAGAAAGGTTTTCACAGGTGGACACGTGAAATGTAGGCAAATAATATATAATTAAGAATGCTTTGAAGTCCGTTTTATTGAATGCAGACAATGGTTTTAAGATGCATGGAAAGTCACAGAGATTATTGACTCTTAGCACCCTTTTTTGTCACACGGAAAACACAGGTACTTGGTATTCCACAGCAAAGAGGATAGAAACTGCTTGGGTTTATGCCTGTTCAGAGTTATTTTCATCGTTTGTTGTTAATTTGGATTTGCTCTTGGAAATTAAAAGAAAGAAGACAGAGTTTTACAATATTACAAATAAGTCAATATTCACAAGTCAGTGAATTATAAATTAAGAGATTCTTGAACACTGTTAATATAATACAACATACAACCATGGTTAGCTGAAAAAAAATTACTAATTGTGCTAATAACAAAGCAGAAAAAGATATCTTTTTTCTTTTTTTGAGACATATGTATAGTCTGAGACATGTACAGTTACCATGCAAGGCTCACTTTATCAGGAAATTCTCCTTGCATAATATTCCCATATATCAACATTTCAAAGTGTATTATATATACTGTGTATTTTGGGCACTTGATAAATTTTGTCCTTATGTGGCTGTGGCTCCCCTCAAATATGCTGGAAGTAATAAATTGCTATAATCAAATCTAATTTCTGAAAAATACCTGTGGGAGTAACAAACAAAAAAGCACGTCTTGTAAAAAAAATGATAAATAACACAGAAGGCAGCAGTTTATTATAATCAGCTTGGCATTGAATTACAAAATTAAAATTATGTGGCCCTTGATAACTAACCCTAGCTATGTACATGATCTGTGGAATTATATTGACTTATTTTGCATTTCATAGGAACAGTTCAAAGAAATATAATAGAAAAAAAATGGATAGATTTATCACAAAGGACCCTGTAGCACAGAATATTTTGAGAAAAAAATCCATTTATTTTGGTCTATTAAAAAAAACTAGCATGGAAACTATTTGGTTAGAACTCATTAAGTATAAAACATTTTGAAAAAGTGTTAATTTCCTAAAAGAAACATCTATGCAGTAAGCAAATTACATTATTTCTGTGACTTATTAGTATGAAGCTATGTAAGCTAATGTAGCTATGCCATAAAGAAACTTCTAAAGGGTTGATTAAGCTTCAAGCTGTAGTTTGATAGAATTACTAAATTAATAATTTTTCAACAGTTAATTTCATTCATTTTTATAATCTGCCTTCAGCAAAGAAGTTTACTCTACTTTTCATTTAGAAATCAAGTGTGTTTTAATTCCAGCGATAACAAGAGAAATGGCTCCAAACTCTTGCATTACACATACCAATAACATTTGCTTTGCACTTGCACTGGCCTGAATTTTGGTGACAGGTAATATCTCCATTGACTGTCCCAGAGGTATTACAGTTACAGGGACTGCAGCCGTCAGGGTTTGACTGTTGTAGATTGTAGAATCCTTCCTGGCACTGATTGCATTGTCTGCCAGACACATGTCTCTTACAATTACACTGGCCTCCAATCTAGAAAGATACAAAATATTATAGAATGATGAACATAGCTATTTTTAGATGATACATTCATTAGCAACAAGAATGGGAGTATGAGTTGGGGAGGAGAAAACTTTAAATGGAACAGAAAAAAATAAACCTGTGTAACACACACTTTAATTTGCTGAGAGAGAGGGAAAAAAAGAAATATTAAACAGAGTGTAACTATTCAATTTTTAAATAGAGCTTAAATGTCCTGTTCTTTCAAAACAGAAGGAAAAAAGAACTGAGTAAACAATGTGACAATATTTACCGTCTGGACAGAGAAAACTGCAAAGAATAATTACAAAATTGTGTTGTATAAATGGTGACTTCTATTAAAACAAACAGTACTTTTTTGAATCACAGTTACTGCAAAATACACTATCATTTTCAGAGGTCAACTTTTGCATTTTTTTGTTCGGACTTATTTACTTATTTATTTTAGTGAAAATGTTAGTTAAATAAAAACAAAGTGAAGTTCAAAGATTTCCATTCTGATTACTCATGCAAGATAAATATTCTCTTCCTTTACAGAAGGATGTGATCCAACAGCTCAGTACCTGAAACCCGCTCCCTCTTTTCTTGGTTCAGCTGGGATCCGAGTGTTCCACTTCAGTGGTGGAATATAAAGGACCTCTCCCACTCCCCAAATGGGTAGCATTGCTATTGGGAAGGAGCTGAGGCATCCTTTGTTATGCCTGGGCCATGGTCTGGGAGGATTTGTCTCACATCTTGTGCAATATTTAAGGGCTCCTGGAAAGCTATCTCAATTTCAAACCTCTGAAAGCCAGAAAAAAAAAAATCCCTATATTCATCACTTTCTGATATGGTGGGAAAACTGACCACAGGGAAAGGGCAATGGCACAGGGATGGGGAAACGAATGGAAGACATCAGTCAATAGATGACAACAGGGAGTCAAAGCAACACAGAGGTGCAGGAGATGTGAATTGGCAAAAGGTTTGGGATTCGTCATCAAGGAACAAAAGAATTACTTTACTAGCTCAAGTGTTCTGCGGAATGCAAAGAGGGCAGCAATTAAACTCTGTCATAAGTAATTTTCTCTGGGTCAGTGTATTTTTTTCAGTGCAAATATTTACAAATATGAAAAAGTACAGTGATTCAAAACTAATTATTCATCTACAACATCAACAGTTGTAGTTCAATATACTTTGCTTTTAACTAGCTACCAGAAAAAAAAATTTCCCTTAACAGTTGTCCTTTTCATCTTAAACCTATGAGTCAGGCAAAGCTGAAACAACAGGGGAGTCCTGTGGCATTAGAGACAAAGCTGCTTGGAAGTTCCACCTAAAATACCTGTTATTATCACACCCTCCAATCTACAGTAAAGCTCTAAGCTTTATTAATAGAAGACAAAATAGAGTATTTCAACATCTAAGAGTAAATTCTCAGTGCAGAAAACACTGAGTGAAAATTAGACAGGCATGTGTTCCTACCCCTTCCTCATAAAAGGATTCTGTAGTCCAATAAAACCTCTTCAATATGCTTTCATGATGGAGATCTATTACTGATGTATCAGCCACATTTTTCAGGAAGATGAAGACATTAAAAAGGCAAGAAAACAATATTTTATAAACAAAAGGCAAGTACACAAGCAAGTATAAAAAGGTAAGAGTTAAGAGACCACAACATCAGAAACCACAGCAACAAGGATTTTCAAGTTATTCCCTTTTAGATTGCATTTGATCTAGATATTTAGTTTATTATAAGAGACCCAGTCATGCATCATAGCCATTCATCAGAGAACTCACATCTGAAAAGCAACTCCGAGTTTAATCCTAAATGAAGAAAAATACCTAGTTTAATACATAACTGTAAAAGAAACATTTTGTGTTTGTGACCATAGCATACTCAAATTACACAATAGCAAGTATTATACAAAGATACCTCATTAGCACTCAACCATACAACTCATACCCAAAAAGACTTTAAAGTTACTCCCAAAGCTACCACATAAAGGAAAGCATTACATATAAAAAGTCGTCTTCAAAAAGTGGAAACCGGATCAAAATAAGGATGTTAAATAAGAGAGGATAAACACTACCAAATTTTAAAACCAGAAGGAGGCAATACAAAAAACAGCTTTTAATGAGCAATATGCTTAAGGCATGAAGGAAAAAAAAAAAAAAAACCCCACACATTTTTCAAATGTCAGAAACAAAGGAAGACTACCAGAGAATCAGTGAGGGCAATAAATAATTAAGTGCTATGATTAGCAGATTCAGATTGGACATCATAACTTTTCACTAAGAGGGAAGTGCAGCATCATTAACAGGTCCCCAGAGGGGATGTGGAATCTCCATCCCCAGAGGTATCAAGACTCATCCAGACAAAATCATGGCTGACTGGATCTGGCGCTTATAACAATCCTGCTTTGAGCGAAGCAGATCACCAACGAATGCTTCTATGATTCTGTGTAGCATTCAGGAAAGATAGAACCACGACAGAGACTGCAAAGGAAGTATTTCACAGCTGTTCGCTATAAAAGAGATTTTACCATTCTACATCAGGAACAAGTTTCAAGACTGGTTTCAAACTGAAATGTCAAAAGGAAAAGATTTTAGCAAAATCTCATGTGTTGAAAAGTGATTACGCATCAGTCAAGAGTTCTAGATGTACTGAAATATAAAATTACTGAGTTTTTAATTACTTAAATAAAGCTCAGTAAAAGGAATAAAAATTATAAAAGTTACATCAATTTCCTAAAAAGGCTGTAAGGAAGCTTCTGAGATCTACAGAATGCAGATTTACAGAGCGAATTAATAGAAAAGAAAACATGAGAGTGATATATTGGAAAAGATTGGTACTTTTTTGCAAATAAAAATCATGCTTCATGATTCTACTGCATTTCTTTAAGTCAGCAACACCTGGAAATATTGCATATACTGAATCAAACGGATGATCAAAAAGTCAAATTAATTTCTACATCAAGCAGTACAAGCTTAATGCCTGAGGAATGCTGACTATAGGTAGACTATAGTAGACTACAGTGATGAGTCCAAAATTAGCTATTATCACTCAAGAAAGGAGCTGTTAAAGCTGCTCCATTCCCCCTAAAATAATTTGAAAGCTCTGAGGCAGTTAAAAAGGCAATAGCAATACCAGAATTATTAGGAAAAGAACTGAAAATTATACAGAAAATTTCATTCTATCATAAAAATCCATTGTGTATCAACATTTTGCACAGTATGTGTATCTGGTTACCCTCTCTAAAATAAAAGAGGTCGCAGAGTGAGTAGAATAAGCAAAGATACAAATGAAAAGAGACAAAAAAAATACTTTTCCATTTGGAAAGAGATGAGTAAGATGAAGGGAATACATGCCTATAAAATAATGAATGGCTTACAGAATGAATATTCATTATTTCTCACAATATAAGGAGAGAATATCTAGGAAATTATCAGCAAGCAGACTTAAAAGAATGAAAAAATTATTTTTTTGTTTTGAAGTGCATTAAAAATTTAGATTAACTCCATATGTGGACACCAAACATGACAACTCAGACGAAATCCCTGAGTTTGGCTCAGGTAGTCCCAAAACCATAAATAACTGGAAACTAGAAAAGTACACCACAGAAGGATCGTGCTTCTTAACACCAGCTCCTAGTAACTATCAGAGAGGATGCTGTGCTAGATGAAAGTCTCATTTCATCCTGTATGGCTGTTCTTGTCATAAATACATGGAAATCCAAGTCTAATCATGAACAAATGGTAGTCTTTTCCAGATGCAACAAGTGAAATGTGTAGATTACTGCATGCTAAGAGAAGGAAAGAGCACCAGTACCTTCAGCATAAATTTAAGTGTCAAGCTATTACAAGAAGCAGTAATTTCCACCCCATTCAGCTGCAGAAAATGTATGTCCCAAAACTTTCTCTTAATAGAGTGAAAAATTATGCCTGAAGAATAAATATAACACTTCAGAATGAGGGAGAAATAACTGGCCAACTGAAGAATGATTCAAATTTTCTCCAGGAACCAGCCATTTAAACCATTTGGAGATCTCCCTATATAAATGTCCTCCTACCTTGCCTGTCACGTAGAGAAGAGTTTTCCATCTGTAACCAATACAAGTGGCAACTGGTTTCCTGGTTACAAAAAGAGTGAAAGTCTTTCATAGCAGTTACAGGAAGGTATAGGAAACTCAAGTTTTTGTTAGAAAGGAAGGCTTATCAGATTGCTTCTTAACAGGTCTAAAAATAAGTTTCTACGTACCAGATGAGAGAATCTGTAAATAATCCACTGACATTCTTCCATAACACTGATTTCAAAATCTTGGGGAAAAAAGTCAAAAAGAAAAAAGACATTCTATAGACAAGACTAAAAGGAGCCTTTGATTGTGTTCACAAATCACTATTTTGTTTTTGACTTAGCTGTAAGTGTCTAGAAACCTTTCCTTTCTGCTGCTTCAGCTGTTTTCTGTCAATATAGAACATGAAGATGAAAGATACCTATTGAAATTTAGCCTCAGAAACACAGAATAACAAATTCATTTATATAACTCCACTTTAACCCTGCCTTCTATAGTAAGCACTGTAAGATACATGAGTATCAGCTAAGGGAAATATGCCACTGTAATGCACACCACATTAGAGTTTTTATCCTTCATATACTGCATACACTTGAAGTAGCTGTTAGAGAAAAAGTTGAGAAATATGGCTCAGATCAAACTGGTAGATGGAGGTGGGGGGAAAGTCATCAAAAGTCCTTGTAAAACTGGGAAGGATTGTAGGGCTCTAATTTCCTGCCCTGGATGCTAAGCTCTTCAATATTTTCAGTAGCATACTCTGAAGACAGAAGAGAGAATATGCTTACAAGCCTCACAGACCACCCCAGCGCAGGACGCATGGCCAGCACTGTCACAGCCCTGATGGCACCAAGCAGCCTTAATGGCCCTGAGCAGCCTCACTTGGGGCCTTCATCCACACCCTCCGCCCACAGCCCAGGAGCTCCAGGTAAGCTCCAGTCTGGGCACCCACACCTTGCTTGGGCTATGCTGCAGTTGTGCCTGTCCCCTGCCTCTTGGTAGGATCCCTTGGACTTGCCCTGCAGCCACATCTCCTCTCTCACCTCCCTGCTCCTGCTGCCCACACTACTTCTGATACAGG